CTCCATTAGTGCTTCCGCACTAAACATAATTTGATTTTTTGTTTATTTTTGGTACCAAAATTATATTTTATTTTATTTCGTTTAAATCCACTTGAGTAGGTATCTAAAATATGAGATAATTTCTAGAATCAAATTTTAGGAAGTAGGAAATCTATTGAGTTCTATACTATTTTATTTAAAAGTCACGTTTTTCAATGTTTTTTGTCAACAATTGCCAAAATTAAATATTGATTTGATAAGTATGTATACCAACCATGGTAACATCCAAATATCTAAACGACTAGTATTCTAAGCTCCTATTCTATTACATGCATACCACTGCCAATTCCCGCCCAAACTAGTAACAATCTAACAATGGAGGAGTCCGATATCTCCCATTACCGGAATGCTCAAACAGACTGCGATGTCCGATACAAATTGTTCAATTGTTTGTACAATTACCTCCGAATAGTTGAGCCAGTTCTCGAGTTATACAAAGGGCTAGTTAGCGGAGTTATACGGCCAGTGTTATCGTTTTAAAGTTTTCTACTTATAATTTTCTTGTACAGACTAGAACACTTTGAGAACACGCTGTGGCATCTTATGTGAGAAGTAATAGATGCGATTGTGCAATGTACGAGTGTGTTGCGCTGTCGACTGTACTTTGTCTTTTCCGAGAAGATTGTACTAAAGAAAATGAAAACTAGTAGGTGACTTTAGACATAAACGACGACGCGCCGACACAAACTTATTTAGTTCTAGCACTGATGGCCGTTCGGGCAGAAAAGTCCGAGTGACAACCACGGGCCTGATGACGTAGTGCACTATATGGACCGACGACCTTGTGAAGTTACGGGCAGCGCACGACTAGTCGTTGTGAAAATCCTTGGGTGAGGCCTTTGTCCAACAGTGGACGTCATTTGACTGAAACAAACGAACGAATTATTGGTGTTTTACCATTAAGTCTTGGATATACTTACTTTTACTTGGTATACTTTACTAGAATAGTATGGTACTGGTACTCGTGACAATAACATTAGCTCCCAGTGGAATTCGAATCCGCTACACCAGCTGGTGAATTTATAATGTAATATCGTTTGATCAAATCCTCAGTTAAAGTGAATTAATATGGTATATGTAATACTGACGTGAATTAAACCCTAATATAGGATTGATTAAATTTTAAGGGTCTCTTGATGTCACTGAAATGTAGAATTTGTAGAATTAATTTCAAAATGTGTGTGACAACATTCCATCATTTAATTGACGCCCGTATTCACAAACGAGTGAAGCAGCAAATCGAACGCACAGTGTTGAATAGAGCTCTGTGATTGGTTCGTGTGTCACCCTGTGCGTCCACGCGCACTGTGAGACCTCATAGTAATGTTTGTAAATACGGGACTAAATTACTCTAATTATTGGATGAGGATGAGGGATATTAAAATTTGAATCGTGCTAAGTAATAATTACCTTTTTTAAAATGAAAGTCTGGCAAGAAAAAAATCATTTTAAGCTTAGTCGAGAATTTTAAAAATCTTTGGACATAAGTCTCAATTTATGAATCCGAGGCTTATTTTATTAAATTTGTAGTATTAAGTTAAATTAATCTACTTGTTTAAATCTTTATCCTTGTATACTGACTCGTAACAAATCGGAATATTCGCCTTCAACGGAATTCAAACACCTAATCAGAGTTGCGTTGTAGGATAAATCAACTACCACACAGGTAGCCAAGATATAACTACTAATCACACATCTTCATGGTTCAGGCTTTGTTGCTAGAACAGTATGTAAATAAACCATGTAATCCTCATAGTTTAAAATAATTTAATTCCCTGAAGCAATATACATCGGCCAGATCAATGAATAATATAAATCAGTCGAAGAAACTTAACCCAAAACTATCAGAAACTGTACCCTTAAGTTAGTATCTCGCATACTTCCTAATGCCTTGGATGAAGGTCTATATTTCAACAGCTTAGTTGAAAATTTGGAATTGTTTTCAATACACAAAGGCCTGAGTAAACTTACATGTAGTGCTGAGAATACAGCCAGCACACAGACTTATTGTATACAGACAATAATTTTATTTTTGTCTTAAAAATTTTTTTGCAAAGCCCCGTTGTTGGTTTTCCAAGAATTTTATTAACCCATCAAACCCTAAATAGTCGTATAAGACTGTGATAGCAATTGATTTCTATGATGTGTCATTTGCGAGTAGGGTCAAAAAGTTCTAAGTTTATGAGGCCAAAATACCAAATTCTGCTATATGAGATAATTTACCCAAGCAGAAGAACGTACATGAATTGAACATTGAATTTTCGATGATAGATCCAGTTTATTCTGTAATTATTCTGTATTTATTATTGGTACCGTTTGAAAGAGCACGTGAAGCACTTTCAGGATCAGTAACCAGTTTTTCGATATCTTGTATAGTTTATAAATAACCGAGTGAGATCACTTATCGTTACCACCCTGTATGATAAATCTATACTATAATATTATAAATGCGAAAGTAACTCTTGTCTGTCTGTCTGTCTTGCTTTCACGCCTAAACCACTGAACCGATTTTGATGAAATTTGGCATAGAGATAGTTTGAGTCCCGGGAAAGGTCAAAGGTTTTTGAAACAGGGACGCGCGCGATAAAGTTTTTCTGTGACAGACAAAATTCTATGCGGGCGAAGCCGCGGGCGGAAAGCTAGTCAGACATAAACCTGCCCAAGTATATCATTTTTGCCTTGACAACTCTTTCTTGTCACTAATCCCAAAGTAAGCTGGCTTTTCTCCCCAATCTATCCCGAATTGATCATTCAAAGGCCTGACTTGTTGATTGCTCCCGCTCATAATTTATAGCGGTTTGCGCCTCAGCTTAACTGTTTTATTGTGTACGATGATCGATTGTCAGGTAACTTGCCTCCCTCGATTATACAGGTAATAGTACCCCAGTTGACTTAGCTGTTTGGATCGAGATCTTTGTTATATGGGATAGTTATTACAATTGATTGATTTCTTTAATTTAATGATTTTTTTTTTGTTCTGTTAGGAGTGGTTAGGTTTCTTGTAAGTAAATAATTTAGTGAATTCTAGGCACATTTTCCGTGCACGTCACGAACAAAGTGAATTAACCATGTCATGTGGTAGATTAGTCAGCATTAACATAGAATTACTTACCTATTAAGTAACCTACGTCACAAATTAACCACGATCTTCGTGTATTTCTGATGTTCTCTGAAATGCTGATGTTAACACTTCACAATGACAATCTTACTTATGGAAATTTGAACAAAATTTTAAATTACTTTAAAGTTAACTCCTTTTTTATATTAAATGGTACCGTGAAGTTTGTCCGCGACTAAAAGAATTTAGTTTCCTACTAGAAGCATAACAAATTATTTTCTTTGAAAGTTTGAAACCACCAATCATTCAAAAATTTCCTAAAAACCTATTTAACTACCTATTCAAAATCTTAAAGGGACATAAAGATAGACATTTAGAGTAAGTATAACTTTAGTTTGTCTTGTGAACTAATTCACTGACCTATACTAACCTCCACATTTGAACGATCTAAGAATTACATAACATCTGCTCCAGACAAGACGCAAGAAGCCGTACTGGTGCTAAAGCTATTACTCAAACAAATATATACAACATATAATATGTATGCAAAGGCTCCACACTTCCAACTAGTTCGTTTATTCAGTCCACAAGTAGGCTTAGAGTGAACAAGTGTATACATGCTCGGTGCTGGTAGATTAGAAAAGTTTATTGTCGTACAGTAAAGTGGATTTAAGAAGGTGTAATGTAGTGTTGAAAGATCAGATTTATTTCATACTAGTGGCCGCCCGCGACTTCGTAGGGGTTGAATTTTGTATTATCTCGCTTTAGTGAGCACCTACATTCTAAAAGGAACGTTCAAAAATCTAAGACTCGTAGAACTTGTAGTTTCTGAGATTTCGTGATGAGTGAGTAAGTCAGTGACCTCCCGCTTTTATATCTATAGACAAATACTTCTTCTTCTTATTCGTTACGCTCTTGGCAGAGCGGTCGTGGTCACGTTGAGGCGTTGTTCACATCGGTTGTAGAGGCGGATACAACTCTCCGCACGATCTCCCTCCATCTCTCTCTATTGGCAAATACTAGACAACCATGAATGACCTTCATGGTACTCGTGCCATGAGACCTAAATCAGTTGCATCAACCACACATCTTAACACCTGAATATTTTTATTGGTAGAGCCACTTGGGTCTTTTTTCACATCTCTAAGCAGGTGAATGTGTGTGCGTCATCCTAAGTCTGGGTTGCACCATCTTAATTCAACTTTAACAAACGTCAAAAGTCTGTCAAAGTTCATACAAAAACACCGGTTATCGTCAAAGTTACGGTCAAAGTTAGGTCGTGCAACTCAGCCTAAAAGTGCAGATGCACTTTTGGATATACTGTACAATATCAATATCCACTCCTAACCTGAACTTAATTTAAAGCATAATAAACACAGTAACGTATGTATGCTAAGACAGGGATGTTTTTTTTTTAATCTTCGGCACTTTTTCGATTTTGGTTAAAGTACCTAATAATGTGCTCACAGTTTTTATTGAACTTCGAAAGTTCTGAGCTCCAAGGACGTTTAGTTGCAGTCTGCTAATGGATACAGTCTGCTACCAAACGTGAAAAGAGAGAGAGATTCAACAATACGTAGCTTACAAGCTATGTTTTGTTGATCCCCTTGAGTTGATGACAGGGATGAATTAGAATGAATTAGGATCATCTAATTCAGACAGCAATGAGTAAAACGATTAGGAAATCCTATGTAAATAAATTATGACTATCAAAGGCTAGAGAAGCAGAAGATTTTGAAAAGTATCTTATTTTAAGGGAAAAATTACGAGCAACGTTTTAACAGTTCACCAGACTGAAAACTTCTTGGATTTTTTGTGCCAAAGAGTATTGACCATGAAAAAAAGACAAGCTGACAAGGTTCAACTACAAATGCCAAAATGTCAGAGCTATCAAGATTTATGAATGAATCAAAGATGCGTTGCTTTCTGAATAACGCAAGAAAACTGAGGATGAGATTCATCTTACTGGCTCTAGCAATTCTCAGCTTGTATTTATTCATCTCGTACATCCTTCTTGAAGTGTGGTTCGTTAAAAGTGGTCAAAAGACCACGTCTACTCCTGTGTCAGTGAGTTTGACGTATGTCACAGTGCACGTAGACTTGAAAGGAACGCCTTTGAAGCTGTCATACTTGGAGTCTCTTCTGCCCTTGATGAAGGAGAATGGGGTGAACAGTCTGCTGATGGAGTATGAGGATATGTTCCCTTATGAAGGGAAGCTGGCCAATTTGAGCGCTGAGAACTGCTATAAGAAACCAGAGGTAAGCTGTTAATGTACTATCAGCCACAGTTCCAGCTACCAATTTCTGATCATGTCGTCTCGATTTATCGCAATGACTCGCCATTTGATGAGAGCGAGAGAAAAAACTAAAATGAGTAGCTGGAACTGTGACTGACACAGTCAGTCGTACAACCCGATCAAGTTAACTGCACACCTGGCAGCCGTGACGTCACATCGACGATCTGGTACGGGTGTGGGGCTGTGTGGGAGGGAGAGTCGCATTCCAACCAGGTGCGCATTTAACTTGTGGTTGTAGATGCACATGTCACCGTAATATTGTGAATTCCGTCAGATTATAAACTGACGTAGGTAGTTCGATTACAATCTAACCTAACCTAACCCACTTTTAGTTTACAATCTCACGCGTTATATTATAAACTGACGGAGTTCACAATTTCGCGTTGACACATTATAAAACGGGGCTAACGCCCGTATTCATAAACATTACTATGAGGTCTCACAGTGCACGTGAACGCACAGGGTCACACATGAACCAATCACAGAGCTATTCAACGCTGTACGTTCGATTTGCTGCTTTACTTGAGCAAGCATCGTTTGTGAATACGGGTGTAAAGGTGAGAGGTCTTACGGGGGTGGGCTACATGACCTTTTTGTATTGGAAGACCCGTGCCCCATAGAGCTTTGTTTCCTATACTCCAACCAGATGGGCTTTCTTTCTCACCGCTACAACTCCTGTATAACCAGGATCTACAATTGGCATCCCATGAAACCCAACCAGTGAAGGTTCGAAAATCTAGTTCTTACATTTTGAAGTACTTACCGCTCACCTTGAGATAAAACTGATGAAGGCCACTGGAACAATTTTTGATTTAAAATAAACAACTGTGAGCTATAAAACGTTACAAAATTCGCCTAGTAATTTATTAAGATAGGCACTGAATACTTAATGAATATTACAAATGCTTGAAAGCGTTAAAAGGTCTTTTAATTTTGATACTGAATTACTATATTTTGGCTTATTAATATTTATCTTAACACAAAATTGAAACTAAAATCTTAATTACGAGATTTTAAGCACTACTGAACTTAGCCTTTTGTATTCGTATATTAATAACTAATTATGAATGCTCTAATTATTTGCTCCAAATAATTATCACAGCAAATCCGTAATCAGAAAACAGGAAAGCTTGTGCTAAAGAAACATACATTACATAACGAAGATAAATTATAAATGTAAGTACGTTTGTACAGTCGCGGAATGAAAAGGTTCGTCACCTTAGTGTCGATTTTCGCTTGCACTAGGTATTGTAAGAGTCAAAACTGCCAACATTCATAACCGTGCAAGAAACAGTGCTGCTAACATTTAAATAAATATGACGTTTGCTAACGAATAAGGTTTTGCTTGTTTATTTTTCTATCCCATCAGTGCAATGTTACAAAATGTAGTTTTTTTTATTGAAAAGATAATGGCAGGTTGAACCAACAAGACGGTTTTAGTTTATCAATCATAATAATCTTCTTGACAAGTTAAATCGTCAAAAAACTTTGATCTGAATAATTTTGAACTTTACTGACGAACAGTTAAAGATTATTTTCTCTAACTCGAGATTATTTTGTAACATAGTTTCAAAAGGTAATATGTGCTCGTGATTCGTTGAAGGAATCAATTTGAAAACTGACGAACCTTTTCATTCCGTGACTGTACATATAATTTATCTTGAACGTTTATTCATGATTCCAATCTAAAACATTTGCCTACTATACAGGGTGGAAACGATAAGTGATCTCACTCGATTATTTCTAAACTACACAAGATATCGAAAAACTGGTTACTCATCCTGAAAGTGCTTCACGAGCTCTTTCTAACGGTATCAGTAAATAGTTACAGAATTAACTGGATCTATCCGAAAATTCAATGTTTTCAGCGACCAGCGAGACTTATCTCCTTCAAACTTATATGCTCTGTCACGTTATAAATGTCAATGTCACCCTTCCCGTGCCGCTCCCATGCCTCAGGCACTGACTGAATTAAGCCCTAGAGTTACAGACCCGCTGCCATTAGCTGACGTTATAATCAGGTTCTTCCCGCGACCTTCACCAGATCGTCGGTCCACCTAGTAGGAGGCCTGCCAACACTACGTCTTCCAGTCCGTGGTCGCCACTCGTGAACTTTTCTGTCCCTACGGCCATCGTCTCTACGAGCTATATGCCCCGCCCACTGCCACTTGATTTTAGCAATTCTGCGTGCTATGCCAGAACTTTGGTTCTCCTGCGGATCTCCTCATTTCTAATTCGATCACGCAGGGAAACTCCGAGCATAGCCCGCTCCATCGCCCTTTGGGTGACCTTGAGCCTTCTTGACTTGACTCATACTTCTTACTTATTTCAGCTAGAACGTTTTATCTACAAAGCATTAAAAGTGGGAATTGAAATCATCCCTCTAGTACAAACATTTGGACATTTAGAATATGCTTTAAAACTTGAAGAGTTCAAACACTTGAGAGAAGAAGTTTTGTATCCTGACTCCATTTGTCCCAGCAAGCGGGAGACCATGGTGTTCTTAGCGCACATGATAGGACAGGTATGATTTTTCTTTCATATTCTTCAAAAACAACGCTTTTTAATGTGAAAACGCGATTTGAATTTTTTTGTTGATAGCGTATAGTTTGATCATTTTAAGGTTGTCATCTTTACCAATTTAGATGCCCCAATGGAAAATAAAACCCATTCCCCTCATTCTTTAATTATTAACTTACTAATTGTGTTCCATAACATGTCCCATAGTAAGTAATTTATTTATAAGTATGGCGCTGGATGCAGGCCGCCAACCCGCCACCAACCGAGTGATGTGGAAATCATTGGGGGAGGCCTATGTTCAGTAGTGGACGTTCAATGGCTGATATGATAATGATGATGATGAGTAATTTATATTGTTGTTAAACTTTTAGATAATGGATTTCCACAATTCAATACGAACATTAAGGTATATTCACGTCGGTTGCGATGAAGTCTTCCATATAAATAAATGTCAGCACTGCTTGAAGAGAGATCTGGTTGACATGTAAGTAAATACTAAACCTATCTTGATTATTTCCATTATTACGACTAATTTAACCATTAAGTTACAAAAGTGTTCTATTTCAGTTTATAGAAATAAAAATGCACCCGTGAAAAATCAAAACAGTTTCACTATTTTTTTATCTCTGAAATATCAATTAAAAACCCCAAGTTAATTTATTTAAATTTTAATTGCTTGCATGTTTATAATAGGTATTTTGTGCGTAGTTGCCATAAAACAACATACAAAGCTTTTTGCTCATTGAATTTTATAGTGTTCCCGTTTTTACGACAGTTCGAAACAAATATATGAAGCTGACTTTATTCTACATTCCCAGGGATATCTTCCTACGTCACGTAAAAACCCTATCCGACGTTATGAAATCCCAGTACAGCGATACGACAGTGCTCATATGGGACGACATGCTCAGGGGGATCAAGCCAGGCGAATGGGACTACATCGAGGGTCTTGAGAACGTACAGCCTGTGTGTTGGGATTACGGAACCGAGATACAAATCTCGCACGCGAACCTGTTTAAATACCACAAAAAATTTCAGCACTTGTGGATCTCTACTGCCTTTAAAGGCGCCGATGGAAGAACAGCCACCTTCCCAGATCTTAGGAACCGCTTCATGAATACCTACAGTTGGATGAACATGATATCCAACTATAAGTTTGGAGGGGAAAGCCAAGTGTACAATTTCAGAGGCGTAATTCTGACTGGCTGGTCCAGGTATAGCCACATGGATGCCCCGTGCGAACTTCTGCCCGTGGCTATACCCAGTCTGATCTTAAATTTAATGGTGATCCAAAAGTTTAAATCAGGTGTTACCTCTGATGAGGGCAACGACTTCTTAGAAGACTTCTTCAATAAGTACCTAGGCACAGAAATGATTCAAAGTCTGAAATGTGTGATTGACATCGATAATTTCGATAACTCCGAATGCGAATTCGACGGCAAACAACTATATGAAGTTTTGAAGGCATACACTACTATTTCTGGTAATTTGGATGACATTTTCAACGATGATAAGCTTGGTTTAAAGTATGTTGAGTTCTATTCAAAATTCAACTTTATAAATAAGAATATAATGTCCAATCATTCGGCACTTGTCGTCAAATATCTTAAAGATATCATGAATATTGAGAATTGTTTGGCTAAAGAAATGTCGAAATATTACGAAAGCGAATTTGTAGTTGAGTACGTAAATTACAAGATTAGTCCTATTAAGAAGAAACTCCAAAGGCTGCTAAATATCTACGATGTTGTTTACAATGTGAGCACTTGGACGAGAAGGTCGAAAAATAACAATAGCTTTGCCGTTACATGATAGTAAAGTACACTTAAATACTGTACTAATACTTATTATAACATATTTTCAAATAATAAAGTGATTTATTTATAAAACCGCTTGGCCAATTTACCAGCAAAAATATAGTTTTCCGTGTAATAGACAAATGTTTATGGGATGAACACAAGCAATAGTAGGTACCTAATATTTATCCAAAACCTACATGTAAAGAATTGACTTTAAAAATATTTGTACATTATCCGATTTAATATAAATTTCCAATGAAAAAAAGGCTAACTCAAAACATTTTAACATTTTTAGCTATAGGATAAAGCGCGAACAATGCAAAACATTTGTTAACCTTTTTCTTGTAACCGCCAAACTCTGAAACCGCAACATTTGAGAAACATTTTTATTTGAATTGTTTCGGAGTTTATCCTGTTAATGCGGAGTTCCTAATAATGTAAATTTATCTTCTTTATACAGACCGTTTAGGGTAGTTTCATCTCCCAAAGGACCTACCTAGTTACTTTCGACGTTACACTATAAGTTAAAAGTAAAACTTTTAGGGTGGGTTGCACCATCTTACTTTAACTTTGACAAACGTCAAAAATCTGTCAAACTCCATACAAAAAGCACCGGTTATCGTTATAGTTACCGTTAAAGTTAGGTAGTGCAACTCAGCCTTAGTGTATGAGCGCTCTTACAAAATCTTCGATTCTTCATTACCTTCCCTGTAAAACTAACTACTACCACAGAATAATAATAAGTACTACGTACAGAAGTTTTACTTCGCGAAGGTATTTTAAAAAAATGTATGCTCAATGTCATTAACAATATGGTGTAATTTAGCCTGTCTCAAAGTCAAGCACCATTTTGTTGACAAACGTCAGTGATCGGCACTGCGCCGAAGCTATATGGCTGACTTCGGTAAAATGATGTGACGTGAGGTGCCAAACTGCGGAAAATGGCGGAGGAAATACATGATTTAGCATGAATTATCATGAATAATATTAACTACTTATTTACCTCTCAGTGTCTTGAGGCAACTTAAAAAAGTACATTCTGTGTTTTTATTATTATTTAGGCAGTTAAATACTGCACTGTATTTAGTATACCTACCATTTTCTTTATTTTCTTCCATCATAGTTACGCAAGAATACGCGTGCGTGAGTCAATGTTCGCTCGTATGTGAGGCCTTGTCAAATAGTATCCTGTAGGTGGGCCATCGTGCGTGTTTTGTTTTCGATGTAAACTCGCGGAGATGAACAGGCCTGCTACTACTGATAAAAAGTAGACTGGGATGCAAATTAAATAAATGAACATGGCAAAAAATACTAATTTTGTGCTAAGCCCGCATACAGCAAGCCATGCGAATCAGCGAATTTGGAAGAGACGATTACGAGTGCAAACTCTATTTATACAGAATCATTGTCCACAAACAATGAGATCTTTAATCTTTTCTCCATTTTACATTAAAACGTTTAATTTTAAATACCTACTTCAGACTTCAAAGACAATTCCAAAGAACCCAAAGCGAAACGTTTGGTGGTCCAATTATTTTGCAAACATTTTCTCTACTGAATGACAATGGGGGTTTTATTCTACAATAGATACTTATGATGAGTTGCACGGGTTGCACCTTATTCAACCGTGACTATAAAGTCATCTATAACCACTGTTTAATCTATTTAGTTTATTTTATTTTTTATTTAGTTTGACAGACGTTTGTTAAACTAAAAGTTAAAGTAAGATGGTGCAACCCATCCTTATAGCTATAAAACGATTCGGTTTTCATTATTTGCCTAATTGTTTAATCACACCGAGCGCGAGCATCCCTGAACACTTTTCAACTGTATTTATTAAAAAAAACTTCTAAAACTCAGACAGTATCCCCAAAAGTTCGAGTAATAAAATGGATACAGGGGTTTTTAATTCCCTTATTGGCTACTGCGGCTTCGAAATTTGTTTTTTGTACCTTTAATTGAGAAGCCGTGTTCCCAGGCATTCACTAGACCAGTGATTCTCAAAGATGCGTAAATGGGTAAACCCCTTAAAAATAGAAAAAAATGACTCCTAAATAACCTCCTTTTTTAAATCGGTGAAAAATAGGCCCAATTTATAAAATATATCCCTTTTACCTACCAGGGAGAGAATATCATGTAAATTTAAGACACAAATTACTCATTAGTAAGATTATTCTTGCTATTTGTAATTTTGATTATTGCAGACTTTATCATTATTATTGATCATTGCAACGAGAAAACCAACTGTCACTTATTAAACTGATTTTGTTTGGTTATTCGACTAGCGTGGTGGTGGAGTATTGGTTTAACCGTTTTAATGCTGTTTTTTAAGTCGAATAAAGTTAGATGTATCCATAAGTTTGAGAATAACTGGACTACATAATCAATCAGGAGCAGACACAAACCACACACGGAGGAAAGATAAAATCCCGAACTGTATTTCACGATCGTTATTCAGATAATGGCAGTTGGAATAGTCTAACGAACAGTTGTTGATTAAATGTGATTCCATTTGTTTCGTAATGTATTAAGTTTTACGTCCAGCCGTTTGTTTGATAGTGTTTTGTTTTTATAGTGCGATTTATTACGATTGATAAATGAACTAACATTGGTATAGGTTAGTTGTACTTGTGGTATAGGTTATCAATCAAAATACGCAATAGGTCAGCGCGACAGCGCATACAGATACAAATCTTTGCTTGTGTTGATCGCCTCAACACTTGCTACGCGCCCTATAACGTTAGTTGATTCATTAATCGTTTCTTAGATGTAGATATGTTAGTAACTTATCTAGTCCTTAAGGTAAAAAGCAATACACAAGATCTAAAGAGACTTAGCCGAAATGATCCGTATAGCTATTCATCGTTTGTCCTTAGGGACAAACGATGCTTAGGCATAGGGTTCTCCACCGTTTGTCCCTAAGTATGCATGAATAATTTTACATTTAAGTCACCCAGGAGGGTAGTACTTAGTCCCTTCAACCTACCAAGGTTAGGGCCCATCTGGCAAACCCTACACCTCGACTAATATTGTCAGTAAGTATGAGACTGCCAATATCTACCTTACCTACCCATAATATTAAGTATACGCCATTATCGTCCTAAGCCTAGACGCAGACCATCGATTTTTCGTCGGCCGATAGTTTAGTCGGGCAGTTGATCAGTATGTATGGAAGTGCGCACGTTACACCGATTTGATTTGGCCGATTCTTCATACATTTTAAAATCGGGCACAACTATCGGCCAAATAAAAATCGGTGGTCTGCGCCTAGTCTAAATTAATAACAAACCTTTTTTGTTTAAGCTAAGTTTTAGGCAGACTGTATCTAAAAACAAGCTATCGAATTGATTCCGCTTACATCGACAAGACTCGACGTCTGAATTCCGTCCGAGCAGCGTCCGTTACACGTCACTTTTCCAACGATTCCACGAAATCGTAGTCGGGAGAGCTGTTGACGTTTCCGTGGAATAGGGAAAACGGTCCCATAGCACTGGCAGTTCTGATATTTTTCTTTTATGGTACATTTTGGGGATGATATCCTTCGTTTATTGACTTGAGGCGGATAGCTTGTTTATGAATGAAAGGAGATCAATATTTATTACTGTGTCAATTTTATTTTACCTTGTCGACTCTTTAATATGAGCACTAAAAATGTAGACGTGTACGTACAATGCATAAAAAAATTGTGTAATTAAACTTGAGCCTAATCGCTTTTATTTAATGGTCCTTCGAGCCGGATCCACGTGACAAGTAAGTCTGGGAGGTTAGGATGATAGTGTGAATAACACCACCTGTAGACCGAGCAGGCTGGCCATTTAACACAGATTTTGGAGCAGCTAATTCGAGGCCAATTTTTTGGTCTGTCTTGCAGAAATATCCTGCTGTTAAGATAGATATTTAAAAAAAAGTTCAAGGTCAAAGTTGCAGAGCGTGCTATGGAAAGTGCAGCGTGTGACGCCAACGACTGCCAAGTGAAGTCTTCAACACTAGGACGTGTAAATCTACCAACGACTGCCAACCGAAGTCTTCAACACTCTGCGTGTTTCAGCTCCTAGCGCCTCAAGCGACAGAAATTGACAACTCGCTTCAACTTTCAACCAATTGTAACTGTATTAGGAAGCTGCAAACGCAAACTGGACTAAACTCCAGGTAAGACGGAGGTTTGTTAGCATCTAGTTTGCTAGAGTTTGTCACAAACTTTGCAGACGAACAAATCTGGTGTACCGATCTCCTCAGCGAGAACTACTGGAGGAATTAACTGTTGTTTGTGTTGGTAATGTTTCATACTTTGACAGGTTCTTTGTAAGTTAAGGTATGGCAACCTTTTCTATCTTTAAGGTCCGTATTACAAAACATTGCTTCAACAGTAGGAGTTCGATTCGTTTTCAGTCATAAGTTAAAATAAAACCAAACAAAAGCCTCAATCTATGCTTGAAAATGTGAATGCGCTAATATTTTGTGGTAGAGTTGCTGTTAAGTGTAACAATCCTTTAACCCCCTTATTAATAAAAGTTACACCCTAGTTGAACTCTGGCTTAAATTGTCATTTAGTATGGAAATGTCATTTTAATCCTGTGTTCATCCTAGGTGTAACTTTTTATTAATAAGGGTGTGAAACTTTTAAGGCTGAGTTGCACCACCTAACTTTGACCGTAACTATAGCGATAACCAGTGCTTTTTTTGTATGGAGTTTGACAGATTTTTGATTAGTATGATACATTCCCTTTTAACCTACGTTAAGTATACCTATTCACAGTTAAACTATTTATAACTGCACCGTAGAATACAGACACGTCCGTTTCATTTCTCCCGCATTGTCCGCGCAGCGCGGGTACAGACAATGGGTAGATGCCTCATGTATGACACAGTTAGGAGAAATGAGCCAGGACAGGAGATGCTCTTCGTGGATCAATTGCAGTATTTTTCACTGTATTTTTTTCCTCGGTTGCAGTCATTTAGTATGTGCTGGATGTGTATTTCCAATACATTAATCGTTTAGCCCAGTGAAGTCAA